GAGTACGGCTCCCCGGGTGAGTGTGGGCGCCTGGCTGCACTGCAGAAACCGCGAGGAGGGGACAGCGCTGGCCTCGGATCACAGGAAGGGACATTTCTGATCAGAGTCCAGCCTGCTTTCCCCGGGGGAGGAGGAAGGGAGCCCAACCAGAGCCGACTGTCTCTGGTAGAGCAGACAAGGTGAGCCCTGGCCGGTGTAGCTCAGCCGGTTGAGCACTGTCCCCTGCACCAGGGGTTTGCGGGTTCAGTTCCCAGTCAGGGCACATGCCCGGGCTGTGGGCTTGATCCCCAGTAGGAGGCATGCAGGAGGCAGCCAATGGATCGATGTTTTGCTCTCACATCAATGTTTCTCTCTCTCCCTCTCTCGTCCTTTAAAAGTCAATAAACTTCTGCCCCTGACCCCCCGCAGGCATCCTGGAGTTCTTCCACCACCAGCTGAAGGACATCGTGGAGTACGCGGAGCTGAAGACCGTGTGCTTCCAGAACCTGCGGGAGGTGGGCAATGCCATCCTCTTCTGCCTGCTCATCGAGCAGAGCCTGGTGAGTGAGCGCTCGGCCCGCCCGGCCGTGCCCAGTCCCCACGGGTGGGAAAAGAAGGCGTTTTTTAGGGGCTTCATCTACTGCGTTATTCAGTGGGGAGAAGGGCAGTAAAGCACCATTTTTGTTCATGACTATTTAGACTTTAATTTTAATTTGTTCCCTGCACTTGAAAAACAAAAATGCAGTGTAGTTCATTTGGGAACATTTTACTGTGTGAGCATTGTAAGACTATTTTATCTACTGTGTGAGGATTATAAGACCATTTTATCATGAAGTATTGGCTGCACCCACACTAAGGTATGTGACACACATGTAGCTAAAGCACAGCGGCCCAGGCCTCTCACCCGCACTGACAGGCTCCACACCTGAGGCTGTGGACAAGGTGACCAGGGAACTGACTTGTAAATTTCACTGGATTGTGATTAGACTACCAAATTGTTTTTAGACTTCCGAAGTGGCCCTGGCTGGGTAGCTCAGTTGGCTGCAGTGTCGTCTCGATGCACTAAGGTTGCGGGTTCGATCCTCAGTCAGGGCACGTACAGGGCAACCAGTGATGCATAAATAAGCGGAACAGCAAATCAGTGTTTCTTTCTCCCTCTGTTCCTCTCTCTCTCTAATCAATCCATTAAGAAAAAACAAATACTGCAGAGGACAGCACCCCTACCACCACCATGAAACCTCTCAGCGAGACACCCGCTTTCTCCACGGATTGTCTCCTGTGGTGGCAGTTTGTCTGTCCCTCTGCCCCGTGTATCCTGTTGGCTGAGGGCTCTGAATTGGAGAAAGTAGTGGGACCATGTCACGTGGCCTCACTCAGCTTGTCCCTCGTGACTGAGGCGTCGTCGGATGCTTCCCGTCTGAAACACTCCGTTTGTCTCGGCCTGATTTTCCTCGGCCTGTTCGTGGAACTTGGGTGTGTCCTTGTGTGTTGCACACGTCGCATGCACCTCTCCGCTTGTGGTTCTCTTCACTCTGATGGTGATTTTTGATAAACTATAACTCTTAATTTGGATGTAGCCCTTTTTTGATGGTTAGCACTTTTTGTATCATTTTAAAGAAGTTCTGCCCTACCTATGGCTCATAAAGACCCTCTTTTCTAGTTTCATCTAAAGGTTCTAAGTGTTATTTCTCCATTGAAGTTTATAGTTGCTCTGGAATTGGCTTTTGTGTCACCTGAGATGTAGACAGTTTCTTTTTTCCAGTGGCTGATCCCACGTCACCCTGTCATCTGCGAGCTTTCTGTGGACGCGCTGGTCTTGGCTTCCTGCCATGTCGCATTGTCTACGTGTCTCTCTGTGGCCTAGGAACATGGTGTCCTCGTTGTCATGGCTCCAACTTGGTACCTGATGGTGTTATAGGAGAAAAGCATGGGTGGTCTTTCTCCATTGCTAGTGGGAGTGGGGTTCTTGGGGTGCGGCTGGAATGAACATTTCCCGAGGCCCCCACAGGAGGATGAGATGTGAGATGTGGTAGAAAACTTTATTTTCATGGAATTACATCCTTGGATTTCTAAAGTCCCATTTCCCTTAATCCAGTCCTAGAAGAAGAGCAGTTGGGGAGCCAGCAGAGCTGGAAGCAAAGCCAGTGTCCAGAGTTCCCTTTCCATGGTGGGGCCGGGGCCGGGGCAGCATCAGGCTCGTTCCCGCCCGTTAGTCCCTTGTGCGTGGGGTCCACAGGCTGTGGGCCATGTGGGCGACGGCAGGGGAGCCACGCGAGGGACCCCTGCAACGAGAGTCCCGCACAAACCTAGAGAGGACTCCTTCGTCTAGGGGATTAAGTATCTTAAATCTTCCCATGCTAGCAGTGGCCACCCCTACTTTGGCCAATGATCTGCTTCCAGGTGTGACTGAGAGACAAGTACCTTCCCGATGTCATCCAGACTTTACTGGGCACGTGTCTATGGAGAGGGGGGGGTCCAGTCCCTTCCCCCAGGCGGGGGCAGACCAGTGGCTTCCCGGGACGTGTTAAACTGCAGCTTCCTGGCAAAGCTGCACAAGTGACCTGCCTGTGCTATCTGGCCTCCCCCTTGCTCCTTTCCAGTTTTTCATAACCAGGGTAAATTACAACCGTATCGTAGGACATGAGTTTGTTTCCTCTGTGGATTTTTGCTCCGCTCAGAAAGTATTACTCAGTTTGCCAAATGTATTGGAGAAGCATCTTGGCGTGTGGAGAACTGCCTGTGTCTCTAGACCTGTGTGGGGAGATCCTCGCTGTGTGCTTAGGGCAGTCTTGTCTCCGGGGCCCTGGGAGCTGGGAGGGGCAAGGTCTTCCTTTGCAGTGACTGGGACGCGCACAGTTCAGGGCATGGCAGTGACTCCCAGGCCTCTAGGGGTTGAGCCACTGGACAGCCTACCTGACACCTACAAAATAGTGGGGCCCTAGCCAGTGTGCTCAGTGGTTAGAGCGTCGTGGTGTCCACGGGAGGCAACCAATCGATGTGCTTCTTTCTCCCTTCCACTCTCTCTGAGAAGCAAGGGGGAAAAATACCCTCGGGTGAAAAAATATATCCTCGGTGAGGATTTAAAAAAGAAAATACTCGGCTCTCCTATCGGGGAGCCCAGGGGCAGATGTGGACACGCCCGGGAACGGACGGCCTCGTGTCCGTCTCTGGCTTTCCCCTCTGCTGCGGTGCTCCCAGGGGGACCCTCTCCAGGCAGCGACAGAGGAGGGGCTCCCAGGGCCCCCCCTCCATGGGCTCAGTGCAGACCCGTGTGAGCGGGCCCAGGGCAGCCTCCTGCAGGAGCACGTTGGGGAGGGCGGGGTGACTCTTTCCCAAAACGCAAATTTTATCAGCCAGGCCATTTAGGAGCCTGGCCTTTAGGCGGCTATTCCTCCAGCAGAATGGGCGCATTTGACTGTCTGAAGTGTTTCTTCACCCATCCCGTGGAAGATGTCAGGAGGCCTGGAACGGGTGGAAAATGACAGAGCCACGGGGGTCTGAGGCTGGAGGGGCTGAGCTCATCCCCTATCAGCTCGGAATCCACGGTCAGGGCAGCGGTTGGATGAGTGTTGCCTGTGGATGGAGCGTGACGCTGTGTGAGACACGCAGGAGAGATGCGACCTTCCTGCCCAGATCCTTACGTCACACCAATGTCCTGTCCCTTCAGAGCGTGTCTACCACCAGTCCCTGGGGTCGGCGCCCAGCATTGGGGCCTTGGGGAGAGCTGGGCCTCCAGCGCCCAGTGACATGGATCCTGGCGTCTCCTCCCTTCTGAGACCACGGCTTCCATGTCACGTCGGCCTCTGTACTTCTGCCCCTTGAGTGACAGGCACAGTGCCAACACCTGGGAAAGGTGTGGCAGGTAGTTGATCTTCAGGCGAACTTCAGCCTTTGAGTGGATGGGTATTTCTGAAATGACAATTAAAAGAACATCATCTGTCACTCTTGGTGAGCACCTGCGTGGTCCTGTGGACACGGTGGCCCTGCCCTGTGGGAGTGCGGCCACCACCCTCCCCCAGCCATTGTTCGCCGTCCCCCTCGCCTCTCCCTTCTCAGGCGCCTCATGACTGTGCCGGGCAGGCCGGCCCCAGGTGGGAATCTTGTGGTTGCTCTTGTCTTTTTGAAAATAAAGGTGATGTTTCCTGGTAGGTCTCTCAGGCGGGACTGTGCGGGGTGGAGGACAGTGTGGCATTCTCACTCCACCTCAGATGGTCGCCCCCACGTCCGCCTGAGCCAGGGCCAGGTCTGAAGACTCGGATGCGATCTCCTCTTGGTGGTGATCAAAGGTGGTGCGGTCTGTAGGCTTCCACTGTTAGAAATGGAGATGCTCAGGGTGAATGTGTCCTTCACGCTGTTACACTGGAAATGTGGGGCCACCGTTCCCCAGCTGCTGAGGGCACCGAGCCTATGGCGGGGCTCCCAGGGGCCTGTCCAGGGAGGCCGTGTGGCGGTGGCCCTGCTGGCACCAGGCTCCTCAGAAGGGGGCGTGCAGGAGGCAGCCAGTCGATGCGTCTCGCTCACAGCGATGTTTCTCTCTCTCTTCCCCTCCTCCCCCTTCTCTCTGTCCCTTCCACTCTGTCTTTAAAAAAAAAAGAAAAATGAAAGAACAAAATTCGGTTTCTTGGTGCACCAGCTACATGCCAGGTGCCTGTGGCAGGGGGTGGCTCTGTGGGCGGAACACGGAGCGTTTGCGTCACCAGGATGCGCACTGTCTTCCCAGCGCCGCTTAGACTGGTTCTTTTACGCCAAATGGCAAAGACATACCGTTGACCCTCGGACAGCGTGGGGTTAGGGGTGCTGACAGTAGGAAGTCGCAGGCGACGACAGCCGGCCCCCCTTATACTCGGATTCCCATACCCGGTTCACCCTGGACGTGGCTTTGGGCCGCCCAGCTCGGGGCCCCTGCGCCTTGTTTCCCGCCAGCCTGCCCTGCCGTGTGCTGCGAGCGGACGCCCTAACCGACCTTCTCTCTGTCCCAGTCCTTAGAGGAAGTGTGCGACCTGCTGCACGCAGCCCCCTTTCAGAACATCCTGCCGCGGGTCCACGTGAAAGGTGAGCCCGTCCTCGGACGGGGCGGGCGGGGCCGATGCGCCGAGTGTGAGGCACCAGAGAACTAAAGCCAGTTTTGCTGGAGTTTGGCACCTGTTCAGCCATAA